GTTTTTAATGAGGCAATCATGAATTACAAATTTAAAAATTAATAAAGAAATAATTTTTTTATATAATTCGTGTGTTCATTTTAAATTTAATATATATATAAATATAATATATATAAATTGTAATACTAATATATATATAAATAACTTAATATTAAAAAAAATTTAAAAATTCGGGCAGGCTCGGGCCGCCGAATACAAACTCACGACCCGTTCAAGGTGAAATTTAGGCTCGGACAGACGGTCTAAAAATCTTGGGTGGATCGGGTTCGAGTTCGGACAAATCCTCAAACTTTTTAGACGGTCGCGAGCGGCCCGTCCAAAATTCTAGCAGTATCCATGACCATTTGTTATTTATTTGATCAAGAATACATCAATTCAAAATGATTTATTTGAGTGTTGCAGTCGAAGTGTGGACCACGCGGGAATTTTTGGACAGTACCGAAAGTACTGTCATCATGTCATATCATTGGGATCCTGCTGGGGCCATTTTGCTTTTGAACTGATGGGCTCCCTCTTCCTTCAGTATATAGCAAAGAAAAATAAATAAATAATACAATGGGTCCCGTCATAATTGTTCTGTTAAATTATATGCTCAATTAATAAAAAATGTATCATTTACTTTATATTTGTACACAAAACCAACAGTAATCATCTTTACTCATCAATCACTTGTCCTTGTCCTGGTACAAATTTCTTCTTTTCTTTTTAATCATGGAGGGTATCTTCAGATCAAAAAATCATATCTACGAGTTCTAGTTCTAGATGTTATACAGTACGATAGAAAAGTGTGATTCGCTTCATAACCATAAAAAGAAGTCAGTTTTTATGGATTTTTCTCTTTTTTGGAACATGTTTATCAACCGTTAAATATATATTAAATTTAATCAAAAATCAGATTAAAAAAGTGAAACAAATCTAATGATTGATGAATAGAAAATACTAATTTTTTTTTTTTTTAAAAAGAGCATCAAAAAAATTTGAAAAAATGAAAAATGAAAAACCCACGATTCATTTCGCACCTACCCATTATGATCTTTTCCATGTAGGAGTTTGGGACGGATTTAACTTTTCGATGTTTATTTGTAGTTTTTGAGCTAGTGTGACTTAAATTTAGATTTTTATTTAAGTTAAGGAGTATTTGAGTATAGTTTGAGTTGATATTCTATTTGAGTTTGTGTTTGGATGATCACATTTTGAGTTATGATTTGAATTGAGAATATATTTGAATTTGTGTTTGAGTTGGTCAAAATTTGAATTTGTATTTGGATAGTATTTTAATAAAAACTCAATGGTAATGAAAAATTTTAATAAGATATATGGGTGATGTTTTATTCGTCTCTTCGTTGTGAATCCATAGAAAAAATCATCTCAATCGGAATTAAAACGAAAAAGTTGTAGCATTTTTAAGAAGAGAAAAAATATTGTTTATTAACTTCAGTTTGAGTTTAAGAACTTGAGTTGAAGGGGAACTTGAACTCAGATTTTAGCTTCAAATTCAAGTTAAAACTCAAATTTTATAAAAGAACATAAATTTAAATAAAGTTGTAATTTGAGTTCAAACTTTTTTTGAGTTTGAATGTAAATGAACAAGCCTTCTGTATCTTACTCAAAAAATGCAAATAACAAGCCCAAAATCATCACCAAAAATTTAGCATCCCCGATACAAGTACTACCTCTATAATGTCCATTGCTAAAAAATTGAAAATTAAAAAAAGGTGCTACGTCTATAACTTTGTCAATGCTTTTGTGCTCATTGTTTATTTTGAGACACTTTTTTTAAAGGATAGTGCCCCAGTTTAAAAATGGAGGATTTGTTTTTCATGTGCCATTTAAATAACTGAAGGAATATCGTAATTTTTTTTATTAAGTCGTAACAATTACGATTTTAGAAATAAGAAGTCATTTTTAAATGGATGACAATGAATGACTGTCATGCACACTTGTCATCAATCATCATGTGAATAATATAGAAATGCACAAATAATTGTTGTACATTAATAAATGATTGTCGTACATTAATAAACAACTTTTGTTTTTAATATGAATAATAATATATGCACATATGTCATTTTTACTGTTAATATCAGTCGTTATATCGTAACCGACAATCTTTTTTAAACATGAACAATATTGTCCTGAAAACATTGTCATGTTCTTTTTTTATAGGCACATCCAGTCATGCATGAATATTTATTTCGAACAGCGCACGACAATCGTTTATTGCCATAGGCTTAAAAACGAATTTTAGTTCCCAAAATAATAAGCTGCACATGACAGTCGTTTATTGTCATAGCCTTAAAAACTATTTTTAGTTCTCAAAATAATAACTGTTACAACTTAATATAAGAGAATTATGCTAATCCTTCAACCGGTTGCGATATAGAATCTCTCTCGTAGAAGTGTTGGGAGACAGAAAAGACATTTTTAAACACACACACACATATATATATATACTAGTTTTTAATGGTTACATTTCTATCAGTGATTACCACCAAATATAAAAATCTGATGTCATGACGTGATAAGAATCTAGTTATATTAATTGTCATAAATTTTTTTGGTCAACTATATAATTTATTATAATTATCAGATTAATATCTTACGCTAAAACAATGATACGAATTGATGGATAAATATTGAAGTAACTATTAAAATCATACTCATTCATACGACATTGGGAGGATGTAATGTAACAAAGTCAACTAATCACGATTGCAACCCCATCACGATTAAAACAAAATCAACTAATCACGATTGCAACCCCATCACGATTAACACCTATTTTGTTAAATAGACAATTAAGTTCAATTACTAGAAGTTTTTTTTTTTGTTTTTCCTTAATAGAGAATTACTAGAAGTGTTTGTCGAATTACAAAAACAAAAAAGACGAGGACATATTCTCTTAACAAACATCTCAACATCCCCTTTTTTTTGTTTTTGTTTTTGTTTTGAAATGCCGCATTCCTTCGCGACTTCACACCCCATGAACTCACGAGTCTTATCGACCAATGGTGAATAGGGTAACGAGAGTAGTATCAATGATTCAATATTCATTTTTTAAACATGGAAAAAATGAGTATTATTAAGCATATAAACAATTATCAAAATTCGAGATTGCGAAAAGTTACTTTTTACATCAGGTGGCATCATTAGATTAAAAATAATAACATCAAATAATTATTTTTTTAAAGAATTAAATTAAATTAAATGTGGGGTGTTTTAAATCTTAGATCTCAACATTAGAGGAGGCCGAGTATAAATATACCGTTACTCCGTTAGACTAAGCCTGCAATCATATAATTAAACGAGTTTTGAATAGTGTATAAATGCATGAAACATGAGCTAAAATTGCATGGAATTGGAGATGGTCAGCTGGTGCCCACTGCCTACCATGTGAGCAAAGTTTGGTTGTTTTTGGCCTGCTTAAAGCAAGACCCTTCATGTGAGTGAGGGCAGGTCCAATTTGGTATTTCTCGTGGAACGCTGACTCGTTAATGTTGGAAATGGAAATGGAAGGCAACTCGTTCTAAATTAATTTTATTTTTTATATAAAAATAAAAATAAAAATAAAAATATTTTTAATTTTAAATATAAATTATTTTTAAAAATACGTTTGATAGTTTTATGAAGAAATTATTTTTAGTATAAAAAAATTCATTAATCTCTCTCTCTTTCTGTTCGAGAGAAGAAAAAATAAAAATAAAAAATGACTATCGCTCATTTTATACTAAATTAAAAAATCATTTTTACTTCTGTTTTTTATTTTTATTATGCCAAACGTCATTTTAAAAACGTTTTTATTTTTTCTTTCTCAAAAAAAATAAAAAAAAAGCATCAATTTTAAACACGCCCTCGTTTTCCTTTTCCTTTACTTGTAGCTGCATCAGAATTTGGAGTGGACCATATCTCGCAAAACAATATATCCATGTCTGCTTAAACTCTTTCCAACACCCACAAAAACCACTTGTTACTTGAATTCCTTTTCCTTTACTTGTAGCTGCATCAGAATCATTGGATTTGGAGTGGACCATATCTCGCAAAACAATATATCCATGTCTGCTTAAACTCTTTCCAACACCCACAAAAACCACTTGTTACTTGAATCAGACCTGTTTCAACATTGCCTCTTTCTCTCTCTCTCTCTCTCTCTATATATATATATATATGTCTATATATCATATATATCATTAGTGTGTTGGGAACAGTTCAGGCGAGTTCTTGTCAGATTTTTTCAATACAGGTCAGTTTTCTCATCTGGGCACTTGTCAAACTCACCCGTGTCTACACTCTATTGCAATGCTTATTCAATTCTCTCCCTCTCTCTCTCTCTCTCTCTCTGGTTACTACTGTTTTGTAAAAGGCAAAATTTTATTCGGATGTAATATAGTAAAGGAACAGTTCAGGCGAGTTCTTGTCAGATTTTTTCAATACAGGTCAGTTTTCTCATCTGGGCACTTCTCAAACTCACCCGTGTCTGCACTCTATTGCAATGCTTATTCAATTCTCTCTCTCTCTCTCTCTCTCTCTCTCTGTGGTTACTACTGTTTTGTAAAAGGCAAAATTTTATTCGGATGTAATATAGTAAATGTGAAAAAGTGAGTACTTTATGGACAAATGTCATAGAAAGTTTGTGTTGCTGGACTGTATTAGTTTTACTGATTACGGGTGGTCATTCGTTTTGCAGGAGTGTGTTAGGTTCTTCTGTGTACATTTTATGTTTCTTCGCTCGTGGCAAATATCAATTTTCCCGAGACACAAACTACTCTCTCTGTCTTTCTCATTTTTTGGGCCACAAAAGCGACTTTATCAAACAATTTCATTCAAAGTCATTTTTGAGAGAATTTGATCTCTTTTGACTCAACCCATCTTCTCAAATTCCCTCGGAAATGTCGGACTCCGAAGCAAAGAAGCCTCACATCTCTCTATCTTCATCCTCAAGAAATCTTCTTCCTGATTACAAGCAATCAGTGAAGTTGAAATACGTAAAGCTTGGATACCATTACCTCATAGCTCATGGAATGTACTTATTCCTAACGCCTCTTCTCATCACAATTACCACTCAACTCTCCACATTATCACTTGAAGATTTCCAAAACCTTTTTGACCATCTCAGAGACAACTTCATCTCCGTAGTCCTCTTCTCCATGCTTGCAGTCTTCTTGTCTACCCTTTACTTCCTCACCCGTCCCCGCCCCGTTTACCTCGTGGATTTTGCGTGTTACAAGCCCGAGGATGCCAGGAAATGCCCGAGGCAGATTTTCATGGATCGTTCACGTTCTATAGGCACTTTCACCGAGGAAAACGTCGAGTTTCAGCGCAAAGTTCTCGAGAGGTCGGGGCTCGGGGAGTCGACGTACCTCCCCGAAGCCGTCCTTAGAGTTCCTCCAAATCCATGCTTGGCGGAGGCAAGGAAAGAAGCCGAGATGGTGATGTTTGGCGCCCTTGATCAGCTATTCGAGAAGACTGGTGTGAGACCGAAAGAAATTGGGATTTTGATTGTGAATTGTAGCTTATTCAATCCAACACCTTCATTGTCTTCTATGGTTGTCAATCATTACAAGCTTAGAGGAAATGTACTCAGCTATAATCTTGGTGCGATGGGTTGTAGTGCCGGTTTGATCTCCATTGATCTTGCTAAACACCTTCTTCAAGTCCACCCCAATTCCTATGCTTTGGTTATCAGCATGGAAAACATCACTCTGAATTGGTACTTTGGCAATGACAGATCAATGCTTGTCCCGAATTGCTTGTTTAGAATGGGAGGCGCCGCGATTTTGCTCTCCAACAAGTGGTTTGACAAACGGCGATCCAAGTACCAATTAGTCCATACCATCCGAACACACAAGGGCACCGATGACAAGTCCTACTCTTGCGTTTTCCAAAGAGAGGACAGTGAAGGGAAGATTGGAGTTTCCTTGTCTAAAGATCTCATGGTAGTCGCCGGGGACGCCTTGAAGACCAACATCACAACTCTTGGCCCACTCGTGCTGCCAATGTCCGAGCAGCTTCTCTTCTTCGCCGCCCTCATTGCGAAAAAGCTGTTCAAGATGAAGCTGAAGCCTTACATCCCGGATTTCAAGCTGGCTTTCGAGCATTTCTGTATTCACGCAGGGGGAAGAGCGGTGCTGGATGAATTGGAGAAGAATCTGCAGCTTTCGGATTGGCATATGGAGCCTTCGAGAATGACACTTCACAGGTTTGGCAATACTTCTAGCAGTTCTTTATGGTATGAATTAGCTTATACAGAAGCAAAAGGAAGGATAAGGAAGGGTGACAGGACATGGCAGATTGCATTTGGTGCTGGATTTAAATGCAACACTGCGGTTTGGAAGGCGCTAAGGACCGTCAACCCGGATGAGGAGAAGAACCCATGGATGGATGAGATCCACCTATTCCCAGTTGAGGTTCCAAAGATTTCAGCACTTAAAGGTTAAGAAAGAGAAGTTTCTCATTTGTTTGGAAATATGACTGAAATTGCCCTGTTAAACTGCTCTTTTACTCCTTGTGTGCTAGTGCTCTTCTGTTTGTCCCTCTTCTTTTCCTTGTCTGCTATTGGAGTCAGTCGTTGTAGTTTGTAGGGGGGTCAGTCGTTGTAGTTTTTAGGGAAATCCTCTTTTTTTTTTTTGGGTGGAGTTTTAGCATATGGGGTCATAGTGAAGGAAGACTTTTGACTTTATTTTTCTGGTATATCGATCATATCTGGTTCGCATGTCATATGCTGTTCTTTCTTTAAAGAATTTAAGCCTCTAAAGCATTTACCTGGGATATATTGAAGAAAGGAGATTAGCTCTTGTAAATCTCATTTTCTTCTGGGTTCAGAGAATGCAAATCAATTGATCATTATATATGTTTACATGGAGCATAAACATAAAGCATAAACGGCTGGTTTCATCAGTTCAATTTGATGTATTTCCTGTCTTCCTACTCTTTAATCTTTCTACTTTTTTTTTTTTTTTTTTTTTCGATTTTCGAAGGACTACATCAGCTCTTGCTAATTGTTTGGTCTATTTTCAAAAATGTCACCTAAATTATGTCAGTAATGCCGTTTCTCTCAAACTTCAAAACGTAATATTGAGTTCTCCCAAACTCTAAAACATCTGTCAAAATGCCCATTCCATCAAATTACATTAATTCTTGTTCATGTGATGTTAAATCTATGCTTTAAATTAGATTTTTTATATAATAAATTAAGCATCGCGTCGGTGAAAATTGATGAAATTTTGATGTAAGAGGCATTTTCACCAACATCTCAAAGTTCATGAAGATTGAATAGTACATTGTGAAGCTTGAAGAGTAAAGTGACATTAGTAACATATTCCAGAAACAATTAAAGAAAAAAATCCTAATTGTTATTCTACAATGCGAGAATGAGAAGTTAGGTATACAAGGTAAGTAACAATGCTAGTAACGAAAAAGCATAACTAATGGGCATCCGCAAGCCCAGCTCCGTCCTCTCACATGAAGTGGGTCCCACTCAATCTCATGAGTCATTTCAACCACCTATGTGAGGGTGTGGAGCTCAGCTGCTCGATGCCCTTTAGCATTTTTGGTATCAAACATCCCATTTTCTTTTTCTCCAAAAAAAAAAAAAAAAAAAAAAAAAAAAAAAAAAAAAACTCTAATTCACGAGGCCTTTGCATAAAACACAATTCCATATCCTACTTCATGTGACATTATTAGCAAACTAAAATAAAACAACAGTAAAGTTGAGCTATTTGGGCATCCTTCAATGGTAAGAAAGAATACTGTTTGAGGAGGATAATGACTTTCGATGACCTTCCTTTGTGTTATCAAATCTTTTACTTAACAACAAAGCTTGCTCACTCTGTCCGCAACCTCAATAACAAAACGGGGAAGGTTTAACTACTGTCGAGGATAAAGACTTTTGATGAAGTACACCAAAACTGAATAAAGTAATATTGGATAACGACGGTTACTAACTTTTCCCGCATGGAAATTTTTACCTTCTCCAATTTGTATTTGGGTCATCAAGTGCTACCAGACATGTTTGGCTGATAAAAAGGAAAAACCTAATCCATGAATAGGGAAGACGGACCAAATGACCAATATTCAGAGAGTATAACAGCTATTTCCGTTGATAATGCAGTGCAATCATATCCAGCCAAAGTTTCTCTAACCAATAGAAATGGGCAAGAAAAGAAACTCTCTTTGATCGCAGGAAAACGGAAGTTATTGCCAGCCCAACAAGGATCATCAACAATCAATAAGATATCAGCAAAATGTACACAGCAATCCACTCTCTAAAGGTTAACAATATAAGAAACCATAAAAATATCACTCCTTGGAGGACTTGTTGATAAGAGACTTGTGGATGTGAGGGATCACGCCACCACCGGCTATTGTTCCTTTAATGAGGGTGTCGAGTTCTTCGTCACCACGAATCGCAAGCTGCAGATGCCTGGGGGTGATACGCTTCACCTTCAAATCCTTGCTTGCATTACCAGCCAGCTCCAAAACTTCTGCAGTCAGGTACTCCAATATAGCAGCAGAGTATACAGCAGCTGTTGCACCAACTCTTCCATTCGCAGTGACCCTTGACTTCAGAAGACGGTGGATTCTACCGACAGGAAACTACACAATAGATAAATGTTCAAGGATGAGAAAAACTATTCACGGATAGAAATGAGATGTTTCGATAAACACCTCAGGAACCAAAAACCACTCACATAGGGATTTTCAAGAATTGCGTTATATAAGGAAAAGACCAAAACTATCCGCACAAAATATAAAGCAATCTATCAGTGCTTCCTTTCAGTCTAACCTTAAAAACACCAACTTACATCTTTCCTAGAGGAAATTTAACTAAAAGTCAAAGCCGTAATCCTATCATTTCTCCAAGTTCATGCAACTATTTGTCCCTACTGCCTAGTAGAAGCCTAAACATACAGTTTAGTAGCCAGTCAAATACTGTTTACTATTGAGTGCTTCTTTAACAAGACCAGAGCCACAAAAAAAGAATGCAAAATGTTACGCTTGGAGCATCTCCAATGCAATGCTATAATTGATGTGTCAATTGCAAATTTAGCATTTGAGTGTAAAAAACACTCTCCAATGCAATGCTATTTGTTGTGACAAGTTTCCCATATGTTATACTTTGTGGCAAAATTTCCCACCAAGTATAGCATATGCAAAATTTGGCATTTAATTAGTATTGGTTGAAATGTTTACTTTTTCATGTAATTTCCCATATGTTATACTTTGTGGCAAAATTTCCCACCAAGTATAGCATATGTAAAATTTGGCATTTAATTAGTATTGGTTGAAATGTTTACTTTTTCATGTAATCAATGCAACGTTTGCATTTTTTTAATTATTTTAAAAATAAAAGATTACATTTACAACTTTTAAAGCTCAATAATTATGGGAAAAAGTAGATTTAGCATTTCAAATAGCATTATGCATTGCAGTAAAAATGAAAATAACATACCATATCACACTTTTTGATGCTAAATATACAAATGGCATTAGCATTTGTATTGGAGATGGCCTTATGAGCAAAAACAAAAAAAGGAAGCAAACGACATCTGAATTGGCTGTATCAAGAAAAATGCCCAAGAAGTCACATAATCGGTTTCAGTATATATACAGATGAAGGACATATAATCAAGAATTGACCCAAATAACAGTTCCAGCACATATAGATCCTATGTGATAACTGATAAATAATCCCGTAACCGTTTTACTCAAGCTTCACTTCTTTTCCTGCTAATAATTTACTCAAACTTCACTAATTACATAAAATTCATTACAATGCGATACTCTAACGCTTACCACTATTATCGTTCTCAAACTCTCAAACCACTCAATAAAATAAAAAAATAAAAAAAAGGAAAAAAAAAAGAGGCACCCATCAACCAAGATTTCAAGAAATCTAACTACGTTTTATCCAATGAATCAAAGACAATCAAATCCCTGAATCATGTATTCCCATTACCCAAAATTACATGCATCTTTTTTTTCTTTTCTTTTTTTCCAAATATAATTTCCCCTGCCGTTCTCCAAGCAAACAAGCGAATTCCACAAGAGAGAGAGATAAGCCAACGGAAAGAAAAATTTCAAAAAAAAAAATCAGAATTCGAGAGCAAACATGCGCAAAAACCGATAATTAACCACAGATAAAAAAAACGAAACACAGATTCTGAAGAAACGAAGCTACGCACAAAAACGAAGAAACCCAATAACAGAAAAAGAAAATAATAAACTAAAAATAAATTATGAAAAATTAGAATGAAAAAGAAGTGTAAAGGACAGGGAGGAGAGAGACCTGAAGGCCAGCGCGAGAGGAACGAGAAACGGGCTTCTTCTTGTCCTTGTCTTTGTCCTTGTCCTTGCCGAGGGCTGGGCTTTTGCCCGTTATCAAACCTTTCGCACCTTTCCCAGACATTGATTGAGAGATTCTAGAGAGAGAAAGCTAGAGAGAGAGAGAAGGGATGTTTAGATGGAGATTTCCGATGGAGATTTCAGAGGGCCGAGAATGATCGGGGAAGAGAGATGGGGTTATTTATTTGAGGACTCGATGACCAAACTGCCCTTCTGGATTCCGGATTATTGCAAATAAACCATTTGGATTAGATACGGCCTCTTTTTTGTGTCAAGTTTGGTGGTCGCATTGTGCTGTCACAAAGTCGTCACGTGGGAAATTATGGATGGCTAAGATTTGAGTTTTTGAGACGGGACACTCGCGATAAAAGTCGGTTCCGTTTATTTTGCTGATTCGAGTTTAGAATTCGAATTTTGCTACAGTAAAAAGCTCTCACAAACAATCACATCTAACTTTTTTACTACAGTTAAAAATTCTCACATAAAATCACATCTCAACTCGAATTAAAAACTCGAATCAGCAAACTAAACGGGTCCGTAGTTCATTTTCGAGGTTTTTTTTTTTTTTAATTAAAAATCTCACCCTCAATTACAGTAAACGACGCAAAAACTATGGAACGATATAACACAACAAATGAGAATAGGACGAAAAGGGAACGACAAATCACGACAAGAAAACGGCAACACAGAAGAGAAAGCGAAGAAACAGAACAAAAACGAGGAGACAGTGATAATGTAACGCCAACAAAGCGAATAAAGACGGACCATATCACGCGAGAACACGTGAAAAACCACAACAACGTATATTGAATGACAATAAGTCAAAACAACAGAAAATGATGGAACGACAAGGAAAGTAGAACGTCAACAAAACGATAAATGAAAACTAATATCAGACGCCGAAAATTGAAATGGAAAAAAACTTCATAAAAAGTAGACGAAAAAATATACCAAACAATAATAAGAAAAAAATCAGCAAATAAGAAAATAACGGCAAAATGAAACGTCAACCAAGCGTATGAGAAGAGCAAAAAATGAAAACTATGATAAACTAAAAAGACGGAAAAAATTCTCTGAGTAGACTCTTTACCAAATTTTATTGGCTCTTATGTTAATTATAGCCGATATGCTTTCTCAGTAATAAAAGCTCACTTTTCCTTAAAAAAAACGACCGAAAAAATAATGGATCAAATGTTAAAAATACAATAAGTGAGAAAAGGAAGAAAGAATAAATGCAATAAGTGAGAAAAGGAAGAAATAATAAATGCGATGATTAAGGCAAAGGCAAGAAAAATACACACACAAAAAAACGACAACTAAGTGAAAAAAGACACAAGAAGGGGCGGTGGGACAAACCATGACAACAATGAGAAAACAAGAAACCAACAGCAGGAAGAAATAGCAGGGAAGGAAGGACAAACCATGACAACAATGAGAAAACAGGAAAACAACAGCAGGAAGAAATAACAGGGAAGGAAACGACAAAAACATGTTATGACAAATATAAGAAAGGAACGACAAAGGAAGGCATGAAAGAAGAGGAAATGAGGCGATGAACTGTGAACTAAGGAAAAAAATGAAAAAAGAAAAGCACCTGAATCGTAAAAACGATATTAAAAAGGAAAATCAAAACTCGAAAAACGACGCAAAAAGGATAAAATGACAAAAGAATGAGAAAACGACAATAAAATTGAAGTATTGCAAAACGACATACTTGTAAGTTGTAACAAAATAGCAATTGAAAAACGAGACACCACGACAAACATAAAACGAAAACAAATTGAAAAATAACAAAACTTGAAAAACAATGAGAAATAGGAAAAAACAACCATAAGTGAAAAAACGACTACAAAATGACGATGAACTCAATCGAAAGTAAATAGACAGCAAAAGATTGAAAACGACAGAGGAGGAAATAAAACTGGTAAAATACAATGACCAAGTCAAAGAACATCCATGGCCCGCAATAAAACTTACAAGTAAATTGGTTCTTTGGTTTTCTAGGTTCCCTCATGGTATGCAAAGAACTCCGTGTACGAAGCAAATTTTTGTGTATGTTCTAAGCTCCATCGTAAGTTCTTTTATATTTAATATGTAGGAGTTTCTTTAGTAGGACAAAAAAAAAAAAAAACTACTAGTAGTTCGTTATATTTATAAAAGAAACTGTATGTTCTATATACTTTTTTAATTTGATGTGATTTTGACCAAATCTGACGGTCAGAGCAAGTACTGGAGAAAGTCCCTTAATATGTGCTTTAACATATTATAAAAAAGTATTCACTCATTTTCTTTCGTGGCTAGATAAAATTCGTGTAAATGTATGTATCTTCCTTTTATTTTGCGTGTTAAGAATTAGGCACTCTAATTTAATTATTGAGAGCAATAAAAATCATGATAAAAAATTAAGTATAATCGACACACATAATTTATAGAGGTTCATCTTAATTGAGATTACGCCATATTTCAACTATTGTACTTTTTCACTATGATCAATAAGAAGTTGCAAGAGAAGATGGCAAACCTCTTAACTCTGTGTTTTTTTTTTTTTTTCTCTCTCTACCTCTCTAATAATCTCCCAAACACATCTCACCATTTTTATAATGAAAATTAAGGCAACCGAATTTTACAAAGTCAACCCCCGAAATCCTCTGTGTAAGACAATAAATCATCAGGATAATTAATTAGACTTCGCAACTTAACAATCTTCCATTTAGAAACTAATTTACCATCAATGGCTCCTCCCTGCAACGGTTCCCACTCCTCATCCTCAAGAGAGGAGTCCAACTAAAGTTGCGCAGAACCTCAATTTCTCTGTCGGAACAGTTTTTATCAGCATATCAGCTAGATTCCGACTTTTCTGAATCTTCTCAAGTACTAAACTCCGTCCTCCAAAATTGATCTTATAAAGTGATATTAAACCTGTATATACTTTGTCCATGATAAACATGATTCTTTGCTAAGTGAATAGGGATGTTTCTCTGTCTTATAATGCGCTGCAGCGGGAAAAAAAATCCGCTGCAGAGCCAATACTATAGAAATCAGTATTTTCATGTGATTTTGAGATCTGAAACGTTTTGAACCATTTCATCTATTGATGATATATTTTCACATATATTTAAACACTCATTAACAATAGATATAACTATAGTAATAGATGGATCAATGAAGAGATACCTTTACAATGAAAATGTACATTTATATGAATGGTTGTGATGTTTGAAAATGATGTGTTCATTCATAAAATAACACCTTTGTCTTTATTAATTCTTCAAAAAATTTACATACTTTATTCATGTTCCGGAACACAATATTATTACTAGATATTGTGTTAAAGGGTTTGTTGTATCTTAAGGGTAATTTGCATTAGAAATTCATTAGTAAACTTTGAGAAGTGAGCGTAAATAAAACCTTAAAATAAAATATTTGTATACACCTCAAACTCTTTTAGTTTCTACATTAATTTCATCCTCTACACTCAAATTCTCTAACATTACGACCATTTTCTTATGATAGGATTAATAAGGTTGGGCCTGCAGGAAAAGGTCATAAACGAATCTGATTAATTAACGGACAAGGAATTTTCTGTCATAATCTAAAGCTCTCTTTTGTTTAATATGATCTTTTGTCTGTTTTAGTTTTATGTACTAATTAATTAGTGTCCAACGAATCATGAATTCAAGTGTATTAAAACATGAAAAAGTAAATTAAAAAGCATATTAGTTTTTTATTTTTATTTTTTTAACTAATGCGGCATGTTGTAATTAGTAAGATACCGCTTTAGACAATCAAAATTGGACAATATAAATTGATCAAAGTGGACCCTCCAAACATTCGTTGGCAATGGCGCAGATTATGGCATAATTAGGTATAATTTGACTACAACTCAATATTGAGAACTTAATAGCTTTTTTCATTGCATGCTAGCTAGCCAGCGTTGGAATACCATTCACAATCCAAACGCATTGTTTGTTTTTGGTTCTTGTCCATTTATTAGTTTTATCAGAAATACAACAAGTAAATTGCAATCTCGTAATGAATTAGTAGTAACATTTGGAGGAACTCATTTTATTCATTTTGTGTTGCTACAATTCCCATATATATATATATATATAATATGTATATAATCTAGAAGGATTAGAATACACTACAATTCCCATATATATATATATATATATAATATGTATATAATCTAGAAGGATTAGAATACTCAACTACTACATGACAAGGAGAAGAAAGTACAAGAGAATGTTAATAGTAATTGGTAAATGGCTGGATACTGATCAACCGAACAACCTGACTTTTCAACCTCCAAGTTCTAGATAAGTAGATATATCGGGCTTTCCCACGCATCGAGGTATACATATGGATAAAGCACATTAATGAATTTAATTTTGGTCCTTCATTACTTCAAACCCTGCACATGTAATAAGTTTTCAATCTGTTTAGTGCCCAGAGAAGCCGAGTTTCTTGCCAAAAAAAAAAAACACCGAATAGACATAAATAAGTGGATAATTCAAAGCAATAGAAGCATGGATTTCCGTTTTTTTTTTAAATGAAAAACTGCAATTGATGAAACTTATCATTCAGCTAGAATTAGTCTGCTGATCTTATGTAATTCAACGGTAGACAGTAGACACACGTGAGACTTCAAAATAAAATTGTTTGGCCCATGTGTCCAACCTCACAAAATATGAAAATACTAGGGATATGAGCGCCATTCAGATATTGAAAATCTTAAAAACAGGATTTCTAATGGATCTTAAAGTTTTTAAAAAATTTAATCGTGCCCCCACTCTATAAAAAATATATTTTTTTTTTATTTCTGTACTTAAAGTCCCCAAATTGTTTAATCTTTCAACGACAATGCCTCCATTGATAAAAAGTTCCGAATCCACCGTTGCATTAGTGTATAATGTTATTAATAACGTATGGTGTGGGGGTACTACGCAAACTTACTCCTGAAATTCAATGTTAACGGATGCAGCGGAAGGATTAGCGATGGCGGCGAAGGCAGCGGTGGAAAGGACAATGGTGGCGCCGGGGTTGGAGGGACGGGAAACGGAGGTGAGAGCGCGATCGACGATCCTGATCTGAATGATCTTGCCTGGAATGCAGGTTTTTGGGACGGCGGCGCTTATGCACCTCACCAAGTACTGCCTTCCACATGATGCACCGTTGTCCCATACCCCCTCACCCGCCGATCCGAACATGTTGCTCGACGGGAACTGCGACACATCTGATCCGTAACAGGCAGTCGCTGTACATATATACATACGTATGATATATCACATATATATTGTACATCATATATTTATCCGAATTGAAGACAAATTTTTGGAACGAAAATTAATTATATATGTTACTTTAAATTCCTAATTCATGTATAGAAGCTGTATGAATATAAAGACATGATGATATTTGCAACATTTCTTTTGTTTGTTTTGATGTCATTGTGCGTGTATATATACATATATACATATATAGACTACTTACGTAAATATGGGGTTGTATAATGGGCCGCATTGCCGACATTGCCCTTAGAAAGAGAGAGGAATTCCGCAGATAGGAGGAGAACGAGACATACGGAGGAAAACCGAGAAATAGCCATATCCAGATATCCTTAGCTAGCTAGGTGCAAGAAAATAATAAGTTGTCGTAGAGAAGAGGCGGAATGTATATATATATATACTATTGTTGTATACCTATATATAGCTCTAGTAATATTTGGGTTTTCTTTTTATATTGCTTAAATTACGCGATTGAGAGAACCAATCAAGATGTTAAAATCAACGGTAACACGATATTAACTGCTTTAATATTGATATTATAGCGACCTTATTAATTAGCAACAAATTCAAACAAAATAAAAATTAATTAGCAACAAGTATATATAAAGTGTAACTGAAAATGGTTCAGCAATTTTTATTAGACTTGAAAATTTATGATTCTATAAAAACGTACTCTTCTGTCATATAACGTCCGATATCTACGTTTAATTTTAGGTTGCCTCCAATATAAAGATTTAAAGTTTAAATTTCTTCCCTAAAAATTATATGTACATATTGATATATCTCTACACACGCATATGTTCATATGTATCTACAGAAAGATTTTAAAAAAAAAAAAAAGGCACTTGCAATTAGTATATATCGAAAAGAACGAACATGGAGATACGAGAGGATGTCTAGTGAATATCAAAATTTGGCTACAAGATTTTGCCATTTTGGTAATAGACTTTTTACAAACGATCAATCTAGAGAACAATATTATATCTCGAATAGCCTATAATATTTGTGTCATAGTACGTAATTAATCTAATAACTAACAAACATGCCGCTTCCGGCCGTCTCCCACGTGCTCCTCACCTCGCACGTGGGAAGTCAACTAGTGGGTTAATTGGGCCGGCACAAGAGATTTTGGCCCAATGCCTCCAACAATAGGTTTTTCTATGTTTTTCTTCCAAGAAATAGAACAAATAAAAACATGTGCACTTAACTTACCTCTTCAATTTTATATTTTCTTATAGAAAATTCTATCCTTCTTAAGTTAATATATAGATGAAGAAGCGGAGATAAAAATGCATAAATCTGTATAGAATTCTACCCTTGTTTAAGGGGTACCCCCCTAGATTTTTTTCTGGTAAACCAAGGAAAAAAATCTTCAAAAAGAAAGGATTGAATAAAAAAAACATATTTTGTTGTCCTTCTTCTCACCTTACAGAGCCAGCAAGAAAATGATGATCATAATAGAACTAAACACAATAAGCCTTAGCCAACTGCACAGTAAAATATGACGAGAATTCGAGATAATTAATTATTTGTTTGGGAAACTTTCTTAATCATATTTTATGAATTTTACATAATTAAATTATAACACACAAAAGCAAGACAATAATCAATCAAAAGAAGGAAGTCTAATTTGTACCTGATCACGTTTAGAGCGAGTCAGTGCTCAACAGGGAGGGATTTTGCCGGAGCGAGTTGATCAATATCATAAAACAATATAGAAAATACTGAAAACAAAAAACAAATTTTATCGATATATATATTAAGAGGCGACTCCCCCCAAATTGGTGTAGAGTTTTATGTTAAAAAGGAAAAAAATTAACAAAATAAACAAGCAACAAATTTAGAATCTGATACGCTACTCTAAAAGGCTGAAGGTAGTCAAAAGAACATTCCTTCCAAGGAATAGTGTTGACTATTTACATAAATTTCGGAGTTGCACAATCAATTGAGTAAAAGAATAATCTAGGTGGATTAACATTAAAAACGAAGATAAACAAAATAAACGAAAGAAGACAAGTTCCTATCGTTAAATAATAATCTCTTTACACTTCTTTTATTCTTCTTTATTATTATTAATTTTTTTTTTCAAAATTGCGAATCTTCAATTTTTGATACATGAATTACATGCACACACGTCTATATAAAACGTTAGCACTCAATCGGGATTGGTTAATTTTTTAATTTTTTAATTTTTTAATTTTTTTTTTTGCTATTCGATAAAAAAAGGTATTGGTTTAATTTAATAAAACGTGGGCATTACTCAAAAAAAGAAAAAGAAAAAGAAAAGGAAGATTACAATGAAGACAAACAATTTTCATAACCAAATGGTTGATATATAAAATACAACAGAGGTATTATAATTTACCAACAAAAAAAAAAAAAAGCATTATAGTTGCCAACAAGGCAAGAACGAATGTGATTATTATTGATTGTGGCGGAAAATGTTTCTTTGCAAGCTAGAGATCCGGTCGTAATCGCTCTAAACTCAAATTTTTTTTTTTTTTAAGAAAAATGAAAGACCAAAGGGATTAATAAATTATTGGGTTATTTATCTTTTCATACAATGCATTTTATGTTTATTTTAAAAGTATACTATCAATTTTTAATCTTATCAAAAGCATACTTTTAAATTAAAATTAATACATAAATCTATATTTTTTATAAATCAAAACTTAATTTTGACTTGTGAAATGACCAAATTATCTTAAAAAGGTGATTGTGTAATTGTCTAGAAACAGAGATAGGCATTATATGTGTTGGGAGGAAGCTCGGCAGTTCTTTCCGAACACGTGCCGAGCACTGTCTGAGTAGTACAGCCGAACAAGGCTATATAGCTGAGCTCCTCTTCGGCACTAGATCTGATGTTCAACGCTCTTATTACTATGATAGTGGACCGAGCACAATGCCTACAGGCTTGTCGCCGAGCATGGTTGTTCGGGGACCCCACACCATAATAAACAACCTATACAACAATGGATTCCAACCGTTGAGTGAATGCTATACGCTCACATCGGTGTGTGACACTTGTCACTACGTCATACGGAGCTGTACACGTGTACTTGTGGGCTCCCGGTGGGTCATGGACAAAACCTGGATCCACCAAGGGAAATATAAAGACCCCATGATCATTTATTGAGGTAAGGACAATTCTTCCACCTAGTACTGTCACAACATTTATTGCTCTTAATTAGCTCGGCTGACTTAAGCGTCGGAGTGTGTTTGGCATGCACCACACTGGTGTCACCTTACTTCGAGGCTTCATGTCTTACTCCTGTGCAAGACACTGTTTGTGGCAGAGCACCGACCAGACTAAGATCGAGATAGGAGTTTGAGCACTGTACTTCTCAGCACGTGAGTGTTGAGTCAACTCATACATCAACAATATACAAACTTTCTTTAAGAATAATTTGGTCATTTCACAAGCCAAAATTGTAAAAAGATATACTTTTGATGGGATTAGAAATTGATTGTATACTTTCTATTAAACATAAAACACATGGTACATAAAAAATCAAATAAATTTTATTTTTTATTATTGCGTATGTTGCGTATTTGCCCATGAATTTGTAAGGTTTTGATAAATTGCTCAATAAACCATTAATTTTGGTAAGTTGCACCCCAACTTACAAAACAATTACCATTAGCCACATTATGATAATGATTGTATCAAATTAGTAATGACAAAATACGTTCTACTAAAATCTTCAACATCCAATTCAAAACACAAATCTCTCAATTCTATAATTTTTAATCCCTTAAATCTGACAAAAACAAAAATGAGAGCTAAATTGGTTAAATTAGGCAATTATTTTATAAGTTGAAAAGACAATTTGTTAAATTAAAAATTAAAAATTAGAGAAATGAGTTGTCAAAACTCTATAAATTCACGAAATAAGAGAAAAAAATATGTTATATAAAAACTTTTTAAGTTTAACAGAAAAAAAATAGAACTTTCTCCTCTATAACTTCTCTATCCCTAAAGTCAATTTCTGAATCTTTAGTTATATTACATTAGCTTAAAAATTATGTAAAATAAATAATTTTTGATTCCTATCTAAGTAAAATTAAAAATTACACGTAACCTACCAAAACATTTACCAAAGGATTTTGGTAATAGTTTTGGGATTGGATTCTCTCCGTCTTTGTCTGCGACTCAAACAAGTGCAAAGGCTCTTCGTTTTGTGCTTCCGTTTTGTCTTCTACCGAATTCTTTCAAAACTTAATTTTGACTTGTGAAATGACCAAATTATCTTAAAAAGGTGATTGTGTAATTGTCTAGAAACAGAGATAGGCATTATATGTGTTGGGAGGAAGCTCGGCAGTTCTTTCCGAACACGTGCCGAGCACTGTCTGAGTAGTACAGCCGAACAAGGCTATATAGCTGAGCTCCTCTTCGGCACTAGATCTGATGTTCAACGCTCTTATTACTATGATAGTGGACCGAGCACAATGCCTACAGGCTTGTCGCCGAGCATGGTTGTTCGGGGACCCCACACCATAATAAACAACCTATACAACAATGGATTCCAACCGTTGAGTGAATGCTATACGCTCACATCGGTGTGTGACACTTGTCACTACGTCATACGGAGCTGTACACATGTACTTGTGGGCCCCCGGTGGGTCATGGACAAAACCTGAATCCACCGAGGGAAATATAAAGACCCCATGATCATTTATTGAGGTAAGGACAATTCTTCCACCTAGTACTGTCACAACATTTATTGCTCTTAATTAGCTCGGCTGACTTAAGCGTCGGAGTGTGTTTGGCATGCACCACACTGGTGTCACCTTACTTCGAGGCTTCATGTCTTACTCCTGTGCAAGACACTGTTTGTGGCAGAGCACCGACCAGACTAAGATCGAGATAGGAGTTTGAGCACTGTACTTCTCAGCACGTGAGTGTTGAGTCAACTCATACATCAACAATATACAAACTTTCTTTAAGAATAATTTGGTCATTTCACAAGCCAAAATTGTAAAAAGATATACTTTTGATGGGATTAGAAATTGATTGTATACTTTCTATTAAACATAAAACACATGGTACATAAAAAATCAAATAAATTTTATTTTTTATTATTGCGTATGTTGCGTATTTGCCCATGAATTTGTAAGGTTTTGATAAATTGCTCAATAAACCATTAATTTTGGTAAGTTGCACCCCAACTTACAAAACAATTACCATTAGCCACATTATGATAATGATTGTATCAAATTAGTAATGACAAAATACGTTCTACTAAAATCTTCAACATCCAATTCAAAACACAAATCTCTCAATTCTATAATTTTTAATCCCTTAAATCTGACAAAAACAAAAATGAGAGCTAAATTGGTTAAATTAGGCAATTATTTTATAAGTTGAAAAGACAATTTGTTAAATTAAAAATTAAAAATTAGAGAAATGAGTTGTCAAAACTCTATAAATTCACGAAATAAGAGAAAAAAATATGTTATATAAAAACTTTTTAAGTTTAACAGAAAAAAAATAGAACTTTCTCCTCTATAACTTCTCTATCCCTAAAGTCAATTTCTGAATCTTTAGTTATATTACATTAGCTTAAAAATTATGTAAAATAAATAATTTTTGATTCCTATCTAAGTAAAATTAAAAATTACACGTAACCTACCAAAACATTTACCAAAGGATTTTGGTAATAGTTTTGGGATTGGATTCTCTCCGTCTTTGTCTGCGACTCAAACAAGTGCAAAGGCTCTTCGTTTTGTGCTTCCGTTTTGTCTTCTACCGAATTCTTCTCATTTCTATTCATTATTTACACATCGCAGCTTTCAAGCCACTTCTTTTCTCTCCTCTCTGTTCAACAACATAAGTTTGTTGAATTTGACCCTCACAATTTCTAGATTTGTTCAACGTTAACAAACAATCGGTTTCCTTAAAAACAATTATTTTCGGCAAGCGAGTTCTAAAACTGTGAAATTCGATTGAAACTGATCCAGTTTTTGGTTCGGCCATTTCTGGAAAAATATATAAAAGAATATAAAAAAAACCCTTCTTTTTCTCTGATGGGTACTGCTTCTGTTGGGTACCCATTTGGCACTTTGGCCTATTCTTCTCATGGGAAATCCGGGGCTTTACCCCAATATATTGAATTTTCGGTTTCCAGTTTTCCTCTTCATCTGGAAATTCCAAGAAGTAACTCTGCTTCCATCACTACATCCAAGGTATGATTTTATCTTTTTTTTTTTTTTTTTTTTTGCTCTGGGGATAGGATTTTATCTACTCTGAATTTTGTTAGCTTTAAATTTACTTGCCACTCAAATTTTTTTCTTATTTTTTCTTATTATTACAATCCAATAGTACACGCAAATTTTTGGGAATAAAATTACATTTGGAAAAAAGGTTTCAAGTTTTTGTTTCATACATTCACCTTTTTGATGTTTTAAAAGTTTCCCAGTCTTATCCGATAAATATCAAAATTATGGGGGTTTTTTTTTTTTTTGGTTAGAAAAAATTATGGTTTGGATATAGAGCATGAAAGACATCTTGTTATTGTAGTTTAACAAGTCAAAATTAGCATTATTTGTCCCTTTACTATACAGTTAAACCAGTAACTGTTTTCTTCTCGATGCAGGGACTAATAAGTAGAATATGTTCTGCACCTGATGCTGATGATTTCTTCTCTGAGAAAGTCTCAACACCCATTCTTGATTTGGTTGAAAGTCCTATCATCTTGAAGAATTTGTCTTCCAAAGTTAGTCATTTGAGGCCTTTGAAAACATCTGTTTTGGCATGCTTTACTCTTAAAAGCTCACATCTTCTGGACTCACTACAGGTTGGTCTATGCAGGAACTGGAACAATTGGCGAATGAAATTCGTTCCGAGTTGTCTTATTTCAAGTCCAAAAGGGGGAAACCCTTCAAGGCTAGTTTGGCAGTTGTCGAGCTGACAATTGCAATACACCATGTTTTCCATGCTCCCGCGGACAAGATATTGTGGGATGTTGGGGAGCAAGTATGATCACAACATTGCCTTTCTATGTCACCTCATTAGTCATAGAGTTTATGTTTTTTATACTTAGAGATTCATTTGCTTCCTTTTTCTTTGTAGACATATGCACATAAACTTCTCACAGGAAGGCGGCCCCTCATCCACACAGTGCGACAAAAGGACGGTCTTTCTGGTTTCACTTCTCGTTTCGAGAGTGAATATGATGCATTTGGCGCAGGGCATGGGTGCAACAGTATTTCTGCCGGGCTTGGTATAGTATCACTTTCCTGTTTGCTTCTTGTCATTTGTTTCTTTTAAACTTGATCTGATTATTACGTTCTTTTTTTTTTGAATTGAGTAACAAGAATAAAAGTTGAACAAAAGCTGAATGAATGATATCATCTCAGGAATGGCAGTTGCGCGGGACCTTATAGGAAAGCGGGACCGTATAGTTGCAATTATTAGCAATGGGACAACTATGGCTGGTCAGGTCTACGAGGCAATGAGTAATGCTGGTTATTTGGACTCAAACATGATTGTTATTTTAAATGATAACCGCCACTCATTACATCCAAAAAGTGATGAGGGCCCTAAAACATCTATAACTGCCCTATCTAGTACTCTAAGTAAGCTCCAATCAAGTAAATCCTTCCGGAAGTTCAGAGAAGTTGCCAAGGTATGTGTAGTTAAGCAAAGTTCTGGAGTATACCATATCACAGAGAAGGGATGGAAGATTTCAATTTGTTTCTTATGAAGTCAATAGGTTTGGTAGGTATGTTTAGATAACTAGATTTTTGGATTAACTGGGCCTTTTAAGCAGTTTCAAGGCCATTGGCAAGATATGCCTGACAAAGAATGATGTCTCCTTCGGGGATATATGATTTCCAGAAGGATAAAAAAAGTGTACTCATTTTCCAATAGTGACACCTGAGGTTTAAAATGCCCAAGAGTTCCACTTGAGGTTTTCTTACAGTAGTAGAATGTAAACTTCATCTTTTGACTGTTAAGTTTAGTAACGGAAATGAGTGATGTGGAAGGGGTTGAAATATTAACTCTCTAATTCAAGCAGTTTCAAGGCCGTTGGCAAGATATGCCTGACAAAGAATGATGTCTCCTTTGGGGATATATGATTTCCAAAAGGATAAAAAAAGCTTACTCATTTTCCAATAGTGACACCTCAGGTTTAAAAAGTCCAAGAGTTGCACTTGATGTTTTCTTGCAGTAGTAGAATGATAACTTCGTCTTTGACTGTTAAGTTTAGTGACGGAAATGAGTTATGTGGAAGGGGTTGAAATACTAATTCTCTAATTCAATACCCTAGACTCTCTAATTCATCATCTTTCCGAAGTTCTGCTGTCGTCATTATCATGACCAGTGCCTTCTGCGAGTACCGAGTTTATGTCCCCTTAATATGTTTGTGATTATTAAGTGATTCCTTTTCTTTTTCTACTCGTCTTCAGGGTGTCACCAAAAGATTTGGTAGGGGAATGCATGAGTGGGCAGCGAAAGTAGACGAGTATGCACGCGGTCTGATGGGTCCACTAGGATCAACTCTTTTTGAAGAACTTGGATTGTATTACATTGGTCCTGTCAACGGACATAACATTGAAGACCTGATTTGTGTTCTACAAGAAGTGGCATCTCTGGATTCGATGGGTCCTGTGTTGATTCATGTAATTACAGAGGAAAATCATGAGGCGGAAAACAATGGAAGTAGTGAAATAGTGAACAAACAACAGGAAGGTAATGCTTGTTTCCACAATTTTTGTTGCTGCGTTCTAGATCTTGAGGACTGTCAAAAACTATTCATTCAAGTATACAAATTGATATACTTTAGAGCATGAAAGAGCTACATTTATTCTATTTGTTTGTTTCATGTACTCTTTTTTTTTTCTTTTTAATTTAATCATGAGTTGTGAACAAAGTTTGAAAGCAGCCATCCGCAAGGAAACACACTGTGAATTTGATCTGTATTAGCTTGAGAGGTCACCATGATGTTTGTTACATCTACTACACGGTCCTTGGGCTGAGTATTTCTTTGATAGAGACCATGATACAGTTAATTTGCTAACTGTTATCTTCTTATTTGTTGCAGGATTGGGCAATTCTAATTCGTTTGCGACTGAAATTCGCTCCCGTACGTATAGTGATTGCTTTGCGGAGGCTTTAGTGATGGAGGCAGAGAAGGACAAAGATATTGTGACTGTTCACGCAGGAATGCATATGGAACCATCCCTTCAACTATTCCAGGATAGATTTCCTGATAAGTTTTTTGATGTGGGCATGGCTGAGCAGCATGCAGTAACATTTTCAGCTGGCTTGTCATGTGGAGGACTGAAGCCATTTTGCATAATTCCTTCTGCATTTCTACAGAGAGCTTTTGATCAGGTCTCTCTCTCTCTCTCTCTCTCCTTCCTTTGTGCCACATTATTTTTGTGGAGTTTTAATCCTTGTGGTCTGTGTAGGTGGTCCATGATGTAGATCGCCAAAAGATTCCAGTGCGCTTTGTCATAACAAGTGCGGGATTGGTGGGGTCTGATGGTCCAACGCAGTGTGGGGCTTTTGATATAACTTTCATGTCATGCTTACCAAATATGGTCGTCATGGCACCCTCCGATGAGGTTGAGCTTGCCAACATGGTGGCCACTGCGGCCTCTGTTGACGATTGTCCAATTTGCTTTCGGTATCCTAGGGGCACAATTGTTGGGATGGACTACTGTTTATGCAGTGGATCTCCCATTGAGGTACTTCCTAGGCACCCTGTAATTTTTTGCCATGATGTTTGTTAAAACATGTCTCGTTTTATCGAATAGCACTAGGTGTTAAATTTTGCAAACGTCTTCATACTCTTTACTTTGCTGGCTTCTATTCTTCCTTCCTAACAGTGGTAGAATATAGAAGCTTTTCCTTTATTATCCTCTAGTTTGATTAGTTCGTTCTTATAACAGATTGGAAAAGGGAAGATTCTAGTAGAGGGCAAAGATGTTGCTTTGCTCGGGTATGGCTCGATGGTACAGAACTGCCTTAAGGCTCAATCCCTTCTTGCTAAGCTTGGCATTGAGGTAACAGTTGCTGACGCAAGGTTCTGCAAGCCCTTGGACATCAAGCTTCTCAGGCAGCTTTGTGAAAACCACACGTTTCTAATAACAGTCGAGGAAGGCTCTATTGGAGGTCTTGGATCTCACGTGGCACAATTCATTGCACTTGATGGCCAACTTGATGGAAGAATTAAGGTAATATTTTTCAGCCGTCCATATTGTAAACAAGTTCTTTCTTAAGTGCATTTTCATCGTGCAAAAAGACTTTATGATGGTTGGTAAATAAGTTAATTATGTCTGTCACTTCACTTGATCAACCTTTCAGTGGAGACCAATTGTTCTACCAGACAACTATATTGAACATGCGTCGCCCACTGAACAGCTAGCGGTTGCCGGTTTGACTGGACATCACATAGCTGCAACCGCCTTGAGTTTGCTCGGCCGCACTCGTGAAGCACTCCTCTTGATGTGCTAGATTTGTAGTACTAACTTTTCCCATGGTTAAGTTTTGGTGTGCCTAATTGAAGTCCACACCTGGTCAAAAAAAAAAAAAAAAATGAAGTCCACGCAGCTTTAGTCCAACCAGTCTTTACCCATTGTTTCCTGTGATTTGTTTATTCCAATCTATTTGTATAGACAGCAAAATATTTGAAGTATTGCACTCATTGATTGTATAATATTTACTCATTCCATAGTGAGAAATACCTTGTTTATTGCATTTGCAAGTCTAGTTTTCTCCCGCTTCACTTGTTAGGTTGGTTGGACCTAATGTATTTATGGCAAGTTATTCTCCTATTGGAATTCTTACCTATCTACCTTTTTAACTTGTTCTCTACACTCGCAATGCATTGTTGCTTGACCAAACTCCATCAAGTTGACATCAACGTACTATTTGCCGTCTGGTTTAGAACCAGTACCGAACTTGCAGTCTTAATTAAACAATTTGTAGACAAATTAAACAATTTGTAGACAAATTAAACAATTTGTTGGCAAATTAAACAATTTGTTGGCATACCCCAGTTCAGTTCAAATGATTGAACACCGTTCTCATCATCATCGTATGACCAACAAGAAAAGTACAGCAAGTGAGACCATACCAGATTCAAGGCACCGTCAGATGGGTCCAGTTTGCGGAGATGGCAACATCTACTGTTAGATTTCCACACACACACACAAAAAAACAAAAAAAAACAAAAAAAAAAAAAAAGGTGTTAAATTCAACCCCGGGCTCCACTCGGAATGTCATTGTCATTGGACTTAAGAAAATTTTAATACGTAACTTGATTGCTGCATGGTTCATAAATCCAGCCGCCTCTGATTAAATCGTAAAGTGTATGAGTTTAAATTTTTTAACTTTTAATTAGAGAAAAAAAACAAACAGAGAGGAATGATGGTGCTTTTTTTACCACATGATAACGAATTAAAATAATTGAGACATTAATCATGTCCGGACAGCCACAACTTAGGTTGAGGTGCGTTTTATGTATACCACGCGGGAGCGGGAGATATTGTTTGATTATATAAAATGTTATAAATTTTTATAGTAAATAATTAGTTTATATATACATATTTATATATACTTACATCTAGTAAAAAAAATTTTAATAATGTATTTGAGCTTTTATTTTTCTGTTTCTTTTTTTCTTATCCATCTGGTAATTAGAATATGCAATTATTTCAGCGGTAAGAAGTAAAAAATTATGTTTGCCTAAATCATCTATATCTAGTTAACTACAATAAATTAAAATTCATAGTAAATAGTTAGGTAAATGATTCTGTAATAACAAATTTATCAAATTATATATATGCAATTATAATTTACCAGGAATAAATAATATCAAAATGTCCACAGTCATCACACATTTGCAACGGTAAAAATCTAAAATTTACAACGTTATGTATAACTATGTATAAAACAAATTAATAAGATAAAGACAATACATAAATTAACTTCATGAACAAACAATATATGAATAAACAAATTCATGTCTCTATATGTGTATCTTTAGCTTCCTCCTTCACAGATGAACAAACAAATTAAAAGTCTCTTGTAATAAAATTTGGTTATATAAATTTAACCAAAAGAAAAAAAAAAGAGAAGTTAAAAAAACTGAAAAATATAGATAAATAAATAAATAAACGAAAAAGGAAAAACAGCAAAAAGATGAATAAGGGATAAATATAGTAATATTTTTATGTAGCAAATGTGGCTCAGACATTTAGTACTCTCAGTAATGTATGACAAATGGATTATCTTATATTTTTATGGTCATTTTGCTGCCTAGATCAATGTTTTTCTCAGAATAAAAAACACTCATGGCGACTAAACAAAGACACACAAATTATTAAGATATTATATCAATTACACAGATTATTATATGTATGATGAATGGAGTAAATGTAAGATTGAAACAAAAAACAGCAACATCGAAAAAGTAAAAAGGGTAAAACCGTCATTGCACTGTACTATGCACAGTAAACTGATTCTAGATGAACAGTGGATAACTCCCCCCTTTTAGTATATCTATAATGTGTGGAGATTAGTATGATATTCACTTAACTTAATGTGAGCGCCTAAAGAATCCGTAATATCAATAATAAGAAATGTTCTACTCTGTCTTACCCAAAAAAGAATAACATTAATTGTTCTATGATAATTGCATATTATTGTCACGTCACAATAGCGAGTACTCTTATAGAAAAAATCATGTGGGGCTCACACAAGTCTCTATAGTAAGCTCTTCCAAATTAGAATAACTTGATGCATTGTGCAATAAGCAAGCGGCCAATAAGCGTGATCTCCGGCGGAAAGGGTCAAGTTTTTGTGTTTGTCAGTGCGAAGAATATTAACCAAAAGGACGAGTTTAAGTAATTATCTGCTTTTGCTTGTAAAAATTAATGTCAAAATATGAGTCACCGGCGAGAGAGACGACACTCTTGAACGCGGTTTTTCCGGTTAATAAAGGAAAAAAGGCTATTGGCTGGCACTCAGTACAGCTAAGAAACGCGGAGATCCCATCATTCATGCATATGTCATATATATGCTTTCTGCTGTTTATTATAATTGGGGGTCCCATGCATGCAATATTCATTGAATAATGTCATGCTCTTTTTGGAGAATCACACTGTCAGTTAGCTACCTTGTCATTTTAATTTACACAAATATGGGTAATTGGTTCGTTTCATAATTTTTCCAATGTTTTAGTGCCCATTTGGCGTTATGACTAATTGTTTTCATTAGCCGAAAAGAACAAGAAATAATTGGACCACGGTGCGTCTCTTTTCAAAAGCTCCTAGTATCCATGGCGTACTCTTTGTGGCAGGCCATTCGAATTTTTTTTTTTTTTTTTTTTTTTTTTTTTTTTTTTTTTACTATTATTATGATAAGACCTCCTATCATAGTATATGTCAAAACTAAAAAAGAAAGTAAAACAGACCTATTGTTATTTTATTTTTTCATATCCCGCCCTCGAAATCTCCAAATTGTTGATGTACAAGTTTTAGTATAAAAAAAAAAAAAACGTGTGCATGACAAAAGTTTTGAGGTTTTAATTGACCTTTCTATTATTACTTGTGCAAAGTAATGCACATTTGACCTGCAAATATGTAGATATATAATTTGTTACGTAATTTCATATTCATTCTACTCGATTAAAAGACCAACCTTCAATAATATTGAGAGAGTTCCTTAGCGAAAATATTGAAATTTAAAATTTTAATCACCTTTTCTTTTTTAAAAGAGGAGATTAAATATATACCACCCTCACATATAAAATAAAAATGAAAATAGACTTCCATATATTAGATCTAATTAAAGTAGTATCTATGAGAAATTTCACGTGTAAAAAGAATGTCCAGAACATAATTTTCAGCAAAGCAAAAAAAAAAGTGCAAATTAAACACCAACCTTTTTCGTTTTTCGTTTTTTCTTGGAAAAACCGATACGTAAATGTCTCTTAAAATCTTTTTAAATCTTTTTCTCGGCTGACATTATATAACAAAAGTCATAGACTTCACCGAATTATGCAAAAAGTAAATCAACGTAAAAAATAAAAAATAAATAAAAAATGCATGCCTTTGACAGACATGCGATTACGTACACGCAAAACAAAACAAACGAACGAACGAACAAAACAAACAGACATTAATAGACATACGCGGTCTCCCAACCTGCAGACCACATCCTCCAATGACTTATCGACACGTCATCATTTTCTCCGATCTCGGCGGGCCCACACCTAAACTAATATAGGCGCGAGACTCGGCCGGTTTAATTTGGAAGCAAAAAAAAGAAAAAACAGCGCGCTCTCTCTCTCTCTCCTTCAGTTCCCCACCTCTCTCGCCCTTTCAGTAGAGAGAGAAAATTTCTTTACTCGTGGAGAGAGACAGAGAGAGATTACGAAGCTCAAGATATAGAAAAAAAAACTAAATATTAAGGAATAATATGATTAATATTAAAAAAAATAAGCCTAATAGAGAGAGAAATTGTGTAAGGTGAGCTTTTTTATTTTTTATTTTTGGCTCGCCCAAGACCTCTCGCCGGAGAACGACGTCTCCAGAGCCGCCGCTTCCCCTGCCCACCGGAACTGACGATTCCGGCGACGGGGACATCCCACGTTGTGGCTCTTCATGATTTTTCAGGCTCAAGGTGGGCCCGGCCCCTCTCTTCTTTTTCTTCTTCTTATTCTTGTATTAATCTTCATAATTATGAGCATTATTTGCCCCATACATTTTTGCATGCACGTGATTTTTTCCCCCTGTTACGTTCTCTTCCATAGCTAAGTTATTGTGTAATTACGGTTGTTGTTCTCATTCATTGACGTCAATAAGTAAATAAATTGATGGATAAACAAAATGTGCCAATCTGTGTTTTGTTTTTTGTTTTTTTGCTCCCCTTCCTTCTAAGAAATAGAGGAGTTCTTACGATGTAATAATTTATAATGAGTTTTTTGTTCTATTCTAGTGCGAAAATTTGAGTTGAGTTTTTTTATTTTTTTATTTTTTTATTTTTATTAAGTAACGTTCGTGAAGATACAAATATATGTAATTTTCTCCTTTTTCTGTTTCTAAAAAGTCTAGCCGGCTCTTTGTTTGCCTCTGACGAAGCTGGCAAAATGGGATTTGGGTTTTTCTTCTTTTTATTTTATCTCTTTTTTTTTTCAAAATTAAATTCCTGACAAATAGTTATCTTCTTGTTCCGAACAAAGGATTTCTTCAGTGTTCGTTCAGATTCTTGAGCAGATTCTAATACTTACATTATGTACAAAACTTATGATTTTTTTTTAAGTTAGATAGCTTTTGTATTTGTAGTTAGAAATTTACTTTCATCACTTTTTCCTTTTACATGCATTTTCATTACAAGATGTTTGTAACTCTGTGCCTTCACATTGGGTATATATAGATTCATACTAATCTTGTTTAATTTTCCAGAAAAAAAATACTAATCTTGTTTAATGAGCTTGAAAACTTCACAATGGTTTGAATGTTAGTTGGTTCAATTTAACTTACTATTTATTCATGTGACCTCTTTTCCTTCCCTTTTTTTAATCCCCTTTGGATTCCAAACACATGTCTAATTACTTGCTGAAAAGTTCTAATATCCAACAGTGAAGAAAAGAGAAAGATTTGGAGTACTTTAGTCCAGATATTTGTGCTTGTTCTATATATGTAAATATAATATATAATCTTTAGGAATTATCAATCACATGCAGCCAATTCTTTGTCTTGTACTTCTCTTATTATTTATTTGAAAAGTGCCAAAGCCCAGAATGCTTTTTCTTTGTTTTCTTCAAATGCCGTTTCATGAGAAGGAATCTCACTGAGTCAGATTTTCATTAAGTTATCATGTGACTTGGTTAGAATCCGCAGATATAGAAAAAGCATATACATTGTTTGTTTTCTAACTTTTTTTTTTTTTTTTTTTTTTTTTTTTTTCTTTTTTTTTTTTTTGACTTT